TCCTGTTCTGCAATAAACCTTTCCCACTCCTAACCTCCTTTGTCCTTTGGAATTCATTCTTTGACTTCAGGGGACACAAACTTGGCCCATCTGACATCTAGCAGGTTGGGAATTATGTTTTTCCTGTATTATCACTAAGTTACCAAGGATAACCTTGAATTTGTAATCCTCCTGCCTCAGCCTCTCAAGTACTGGGTTACATGCCTGTGCCACCATGCCTATTTTTTCTCTCTCTCCCTCTCTCTCTTTTTTTCCTGGTGCTGAGAATAGAACCTAGGGCCTTGCACATGCTGAATCTACCACTGAGCTATACTTCTAGTCACCCTGAATAAAAATAATGATAATAATAATATAATATTATTATAATATACTACTACTATTATTATTTTGGGGATTGAACCTAGGGCTTCACACATGCTAGGCAAATGCTCTACCACTGGGCTACATCCTCAGCCCTGGAATTATAATTAATTAATTTTTGCAGCACTAAGAATTGAACCCAGGGTCTTTACACTGAGCTACATCCTCAGTCCTTTTTTTTTTTTTTTTTTTTTTTTTTTTGTACGAATGGTACGAGGAATCGAACTCAAGTCTTTGCACTTGCAAGGCAGGCAGTGGCACCACTGAGCAAAATCCCCAGCCCTCTTCAGTCTTTTTTTGTTTTTGTTTTTGTTTTTTTGAGACAGGGTCTCACTATGTAGTTCAGACTGCTCTGGAACTCACTGTGTAGCCCAGGCTGGCCTCCTCCTGCCTCAACCTCCCGAGTTCTGGGATTACAGGTACGCGCCACCATGCCTGGCTCTTCAGTTCTTTTTTAATTTTTTATTTTGAGACAGGTCTTGCTAAGTTATTAAGTTGCCCAGGCTGGACTTGAATTTATATTTTCTACTTCAGCCTCCTAAAGTTCTGGTGTTACATGTGCGCACCTCTAAGCCCAGCCTAGTTTTGTTTTTGGTTGTGTTTTGTTTTGTTTTTGGTACCAGGGATTGAATTTGGGTCCTTGAGTTTGTGAGGCAGGTGCCAGAACAACTGAGCTAAATCCCCGACCCATGTTTTGTTTTTAACTATTGTGATTGAATCCAGGGCCTTCACACTGAGCTATGTCCTCAGCCCCTTTTTAAATTTCTTATTCTGAGCTAGGGTCTTGCTAAGTCACTAGGTCGCCCACTTAACCCTCTCTGAGTGTTGGGATTACAGGTGTGCACTACCACTACCGGCCCGGAATTATGTCTTAAAAAGTGACTGAGACCAAGTGGAACAGGGAGCAGAGGAGGCAGAGGAGCCGTGAGAAGTCCCGTTGGCAGCCTTAATGGTGTGGAATGACCACAGAGACCGTGTTCTTCTCTGACCTACAGGAAAGCACACATTTGGGAGGTGGGGAAACAGCAGCCTGGCCCCGGGGATTTAGCTCAGTGCTTCCGCTGCCTGCCTCACAAGCACAAGGACCAGAGTTCCTTCCCTGGTACAGAAAATGAAACAAAACAAAAACCAGCAGCCTCAAGGAAGATGCAGGGCACTGTCTGCTGAGGAGGCTAGAAAAGGGGCGGGCAATGACACACGCGCTGGGCTGTGTCACTTTCCCTGCAGGTCCACTCTGCCCTCTCCACCTCCCTGCTGCTTGCCAGAAGACTGCGGTCCAGGTACCTGCCTGGGCCGAGGACACTAGGGTAGTATTTGTTCCCTTCAGGCCTCAGCGAGGGCAGTTGTCTGCTAAGTCTGCAGCTCCCTGGGGCAGTCATCCCTCCAGCTCCTGCCAGGCTCTCCCCAGTTAGATAATGGGGTGCTGGATCCTTCCAGTCCCTTTGGTGGGGCAAAGGCTCCCCCTGTTGCCAGCCTGGAAGGAGATGGCTCCCTCCAGCTGTCTGTCTTTTTTACCGTGCTTCCTTACACAGTGTGGGGCACCCGATGCTTCCTGCTGAGGCCCTGAGAGCTTTGGAGTTTGTTGGTGACAACAGGCAAACTGGAGTATCACTGCCTGCTGCGCTTTCTGCCTGCTCCATCCCACTCTCAGCAGCTGCACACCTGGTGGCTACACTCTCCTTCCAGGCACTCTCTTGCCGCTACCCACTCTGGGTCTTGGTTTCCTCCTGGCTCCCTCCTAAGCTCTTTGGGCCGATTCCACCTCCTCACTGGGACCTGGGAATGGTGAGCTGCCTGGTCCCTACTAGGTCCTCTTGTCTCTCTCCCTACAGTGGAAATGCCTGGTGTGCTGAGGACTGAGCCTAGGTCCCCAGGCCACATGTCCTGTCTGATCTTCTCTCAGGCAGCTAGGCTTGGAGGACACACTGCATCTCAGACACATCAGGCCCACCAAAGCGCTGTGAACCCTTCCCTGTGCTTCCCTCTCCTCTGTCTTTCCTCTTCCACCTACCCAGGGGCTCTAGCCAGATGCCTGGGAACCATCAGTGCCATAGGCCTCCCCTCGCCTGCCAGGTTCACAAAGTCCATAGATTCCAGCTCCTTGTTCAAGCAGAATCATCTCTCTTAGGAAGAAGGCAGCAGTGTCCCCTCTTCCCTTAACACAGTCCCCTGGCAATGAAATTTACCCTGACCTACCCCTCCCAACCATGCTGCTCTTTCCCTCTTCATCTGGTTCCTCTGCCATTCTGTCCTCAGGCCCAGAAGAAATGAATTTTAATCTCTCTTTGCCCTTACATGCTCCTAGGCAAATAGCCTCTTCAGCTTCGTCAGTTTCCCCAGCTCCAACAGGATGCTCCAGAATCATCCTCCAGCCTCCACTGGAAAAATTCCTTTGTCAGAGGGGCCTGCTGGATCCCCAGGTCTCATGGCTGCTCTTGCTCTGATCCCTGCTCTTCTTGGTCACAGCACTGACCTCTGTGGTAATGCCGTTGTGTGGGAAGTGATTGGTCACATGTCCATCTGTCCTGGTACAGACTCCACGAAGGCAGGATTGCTCCCAGCTGTAGGGGAGAGAGCACTATAGAGTGTGTTCCCAGTGTGGTGAATGAGTGGACCCCATTCACAAGAGAGAAAACTGAGGCCTAGAGAAATCAAGCCTCCAAGCCAGGATTATAATATGAGCTGTGTTCCAAGATGAGCCACTGCCTACTCTAGGCAGGGGAGGGTTCAGATGACTCTGAGGGAAAAAATGAATATAAAACACTCAGTACTATGCCTGGCAGGTGCTAAGCATTTAGTATTATTCCCTGCTTCACAATGTGACCAGAGCCGAAGGAGGGGGCACCCCTCAAAAGCCCTCCAGGATTCCAGCAGCAGGGAATTTACTGGGCACAAGAGAATGCCCCCTCCCAGCCCCACAATACTAAATTCTACTGAACAGGGCTGAACAATTACTGGGCAACTGAGTCTCCCTCAGTTCCCCCCAGAGGTACCCAAAACAATTTGTCGCAAGGTAAAAAGAATTAGTTCCTTGGACGGGTGTGCCTGAAGGTAAGCCCCAATCCCTCTCCCCATCAGACTGCCAGCCCTGGTCCCCTCCCAGAGAGGGGGCTCCACTCTTGACTTGGCATCTCCCCCACCCTGGCTACCCCTCTCCCAGTTGAGTTCTGAGAGTCAGACACTGGAGCCTGGGGTCTCTTATGGCCTAGGTCTGGGAACACCACAGTTTCTTTCCAGATCGCTGGACAGAACTGGCTCCTCTCTAGATGTGATCAAACACAAGACCCCTCCCTAGCTCCTGCCAACCCCTGCTCTGAGGCCCTGCTATGTCCCTCCCCAGCCCCCTGGGCCCTTAAGCAATGTCCCCCTCCTCGCGGCTGTTAGCCTGGGAAGGGGGCCAGGCCCTGAGCTCAGACCTTGGCGATTCCAGAGTGTCTGAGGCCCAGAGCCAGTCCCGCCAGCCCAGCCAGACGAGGGGGGGGGTGGCAAGATGGGCACTAGGAAGCCCTCTAAATGGGGGGTTGACAGGGGAGCTGGATTTCCAGCTTTGTTCTTTCTGCTCCCCACAGGCCCCCCCCCCCGGAGAGATCACTGTGCCTTGGCCAAAGGGTGCCCCTCCTGGAGTCCTTTCCTCAGAGGGAAATGGATGAGAACTAGGACCTGACTTTGGGGCACCGAGATCCTCACAAGCGCAAAGGCGACTGGAACTAGCGGAGAGGCTTGAGTTCCAGCCCCACCCCGATCGATCCTCCAATCGAAGTGACCCCGGCAAGGCCCATCTTCCTCCCCCGGCCTCGGGTTCCCGCTTAGACGGGGCGGGGCGGGAGGTTTAGCGCAGGCCGCGGCCCCTCCCGGAGGAATCTGGTCGCCGGGCCCGCGGGTC